ACACCACAGTCCCCTAGCTTTTTAATGAGAATGGGGTGAGAGACAGTGTTGAAGGCCTTCCTAAAGTCTAGAAAGACTATGTCCACTGCTACCCCTGCATCCAAGGATTTTGTGACCTGGTCATAGAAGACCACCAGGTTGGTCTGACAGGACCTGCCTCTAATGAATCCGTGTTGGTTGCCCCTAAGCATCATCTCCCCTGCTGGCCCCTCGGGGACCTGCACCAGGATAATTCTCTCAAAAAGCTTACCCAGGATCGAGGTAAGGCTAACTGGTCTATAGTTTCCTGGGTCCTCCTTTCTTCATTTTTTGAAAAGGGGAACCACATTGGCCCTTTTCCAGTCCTCTGGCACACCAGAGCACCACAAGTGCTTGTAAAGCTGTGCCATATTAGATTAGTGCAAAACTCCTTTAAGTGTATAACGTGATGCCAGTCTTAACATTCATCCTAGTGCTTGTATTGCAACAAGCACTTAACATCACTTATCTGCACAGGTAAGCACAAGCAGCACTTATTTGTATATGGATAGATGTGTAAACCCACCAAAGTCCACAGGAACTCTTCAGCATTGCTGTCTGTTTTGACCTGGGACTGCGTTTCCTTTTCTGGCATCACTGAAATAGGAGTCATCAATTCCAAGGCCTCTTCTTCTCTCCTATCCTTCATTTCCCCCTTTACACATCATTAATGTGGCAGAGCCACACAACTGCTTTATCACTAACACTTCCTCGGTCTTCATCTTGGTGTGCAGGCGTGCTATACATGTGAGGAGTTGGTCAGCAGATTCACATATTGGACTGTCCTTTAAACCAGTGGTTCTTAACCTTTTTTTGTACCAGGACCCATTTGTAAACATCAATGGTCAATTCTGACCCAGTGCCTCTCACTCCTGACCCACTGCCCCCAGCCCCTGCAACGTGTGGGGTAGGAAGTAGGTGTGTGGGGCACGTGGGTCCACAAGCAGCCCTCCACAGGCAGCCTGTGAGGGAAAAGCCAAAGTTTCGCACATTTTTCCCCTTTAAAGGAGAATCCATTTTAAAAGTTTGCTTGCGACCCTTTCATATATTATTGTGATCCATTTTTGGGTCGTGACCCACGGGTTGTGAAACGCTGCTTTAAGCCAAACTTATAACGCATGGCATTACAGTGTCCGGCTCTGGAGTGAATCCCATTTCATTTAATCCACAAGTTGCAGGGGAGCTCATACCCGGGTAGACACAGCGTTGGGCTGATGACGATTTTCCTCTCCAGCGCTTCAATCTCATCCCACTTACTGCGGAGATGCTCAAGTGCCCCTAGGCCACTGCATATGTTGCACTTGCCTGTTGTGGGTATTTATGCCTCATGTGGTTGCGTTTCTTAGTGATTTGTATACGGTGCGCTCACTCTCCATTGTTCTGTGCGACTGCTGTCAAGTGGACACTTTTAATTGCCATTTGACTTCTAGAGTCCCACTCAACACTACATAAAGTGTGCACTGTATAGCCTCCACCCCACTGAAGCTCTTTTAATTGCCATTTCCCTTGTATGTTCTCACTAAACACTATATAAAACGTGCATGTATAGCCTCCACACTGTTAATGCTCTTTTAATGACCATTTTACTTCCATATTCTCACTCAGTGCTATATAAAATGTGCATTGTGTAGCCTGCACACGGTCGATGCTCTTTTACTTGCCCTTTCCCTTGCATTTTCTCACTTGATGCTGTACGAAGCGTGCAGCATGCACCCCTCGGCCAGGCCCTGTCGCCGCTCCCTGCACGCCCAGGCTGTGAGCTGTCGCCGGGCAGTGGCGGCTCCTGGACCCAGAGTCAGGGCAAGCGCCCCCTTTTCCCCCCGCCACATGCGCAGTTGCAGGGCAAGTCAGGGAATACCGTGCTTAGACCGTTAAAATGAAATCGTGGTTTCGTTTGTTTCGGTAAGAAGGCAGGTGAAGCGTCCCCCAGGTGTGCGGGCGCGGACAGCTCCGTACTGCCGCGCTGTCCCCGGGGCAGGCCAGTCTGGCTGAGCCCTGCATGAACTCACGGCTCCTCCGTGCCGCCGCCAGCCCCCCGCTGCAGGCCGCGCCGCGCCCCCGGCTTGCCTGAGGGGAGTTGAGGGAAACCCACCTCCCCGGCACCGGCACCACCCTCCGCGCCTACCCTGAGCGCTGCAGTCGGCGCACACCTCGCTGCTCCTCAGCCGCTTCGACATGCCGGCGCGGGCGGGTGCGAGTGCGGAGGGTGGGGGCCGCTTCCTGCCGCCCTCACGGGGCCCGGCCAGCAACAAGCCGCACTGCGCAGGCGCAAGCTAGCGCCGCCATTCACTTAGCCGCTGGGGCCGGTCTGTGCGCGCGCGTATGGCAGGGAGGCGTTCATCACGTGACAAGCGGAGGGAAGGGAGTGAGGCGACTCCGGAGCCATCTTAGCTCCTGGCACCCGCATAGTGGGGCAGGGGGGAAACCGTGGTTGCCCTCACCCAAGATGGCCGCCAAGGCGCTTGGGCGAGAAGGGCGGCCCGGCCCTTATTCAAAGAGGCTGTTAGGAACTTGCCCGCACCCAAAATGGCGGCGCCGATCACCCGGAAGTCTTAGGAAGACGGAAGTGGCCGACGAAACTGACGCTCGGGTGCGGGTGGGGAAGTGGCCTCCGCTGCGGGCAGTTCCCCTGGGGAAGTACAGCGGGGTGACGAGCTGCCTCCCTCCCTGCGCCCGCGGGCAGCGCAGAGCACTGATTCCTCTTTCCCTTGTGAAGTGTAGTGCGGGGCCGCTATGGGAGCCGACGAGGGCCCTTCGCCGCGGGGCCGGTTGATTCGCTCCGGCCCCTGCCCGAGAGAGGAAAGTTAGAAGGGGACAGAGGGAGAAGGGGGCTGGGGAGCCCCGGGGGGTGTCTCTGGGGGTCCTTGAGACGGGGGGGGGGCTCTGAGGGTGCCTGAGGCA